AATAATCACATCATCAAATCCTTCTCCATGACCTAGAAAACAAAACGTGTATATATGTAGGAGGCACACAATTTTCTTTTCCTATGTCAATCTGCAATCTTGTTTCTTTAAAAAAAAGCATAAAAATATAAGAAGCCAATCAATACTACGCATGCATAAATATATTTAGAAGCATTTTGAAATAAATATGCATTTTTTTAAAAAAAGTATTGCAGCTACATTGCCACATGGAGAAAACAAGGAGAATTTTGTTGCAAAGGGCAGGTGAGTCAACAAGGTGCAGCATTAGCTTCCTTTTGGTCAAGAGTGGAGAAAAAGACATTTTAAAGCACCCTAAATTAGATGCTTTCTCCAGCCTTTCAAATCTAGGCTGAATTCCAAAGAGCACTTGGGACCCCATAGTCAGTCCTTCCTTCCTTCCTTCCTTCCTTCCTTCCTTCCTTCCTTCCTTCCTTCCTTCCTTCCTTCCTTCCTCCCTCCCTCCCTCCCTCCCTCCTCTCCATAAATTCCACTTCCTTCTAGCACTGATGATGTTACCTAGCTGGGTAATGAAACGTCTGCAAGAAAATAACCAAGCTCAGAAAACACCCGGGACCCCTTATTTATCCAATTGATATGGACCCTCCACATTAACAAGTGACTCTGGGCAGAAAACAGAGTGAAATAAAAACAATGACACGACAAAAGTTAAAATACAAAGGAGCTGAGAACATCAATCCGCCAAACCAGTAAGGCAACCAAGAAGCAGATCTTGGCACCCTCTCCAATCCTTTTCCCCTCACCTGCATAGCGAATGCTCTTGCCAAACATGGCGGTCCACAGGTAAGGGATGGTGCTGATTTCTGTCCCATAGGCCAGCATGTTCAGTGCTGCTATGCGCCCTGGGAATGTAACAGAAAAGTCAACCAAGCCTATGCATGAGAGTCTTTGGAGCACATCAAAACTATGTTTGTTCGTTATTTGAATAGGTATATGCCAGTATTCTCAACCTTGGCAACTTTAAGATGGGTGGACTTCAATTCCCAGAATTTCCCAGCCAGCTTCTGGGAGTTGAAGTCCACCCATCTTAAAGTTGCCAAGGTTGAAAAACACTGATGTAAAACCCTTTGAGGTTGGCTAGGTCAACAAACAGACAATGTGATCATTGGCTCTTGCAAACTGCATTCAACAAATCCATCTTCGGAGACGAGAACGGTGCAGGGACTCTTGCAGTGCTTTTTATTGTCGTGGGGTAGAGAAACAGCACTTGGGGGGGGGGCTGTCCAACTATCTCCCTGTCCCATACACAAAACCGTAGCCATCTGGCGTGTCTTTCTCCTGCTTTCCTGTTCCTCAAGACTAAGTCATCTTTTCGGAAAGTCCTCCCTTGAAGAGTTCACTCCTGCCTTCTTTATCGCTTAGACGACCAGCTCTAGACTTCTTCACAAATGCAAAGTCCTAGACTAAGGTAGGGAAAATCTAAAGGTGTGCACCTAATATGGGAGGAGCTTTAGAGGACAGCAGGACATGGGGAAAGGTCTCTGGGTATCCTCTAGTCCAGTGGATCCCGAATTTGAACCTGAGCCAGCAGCGTCCTGCAGCTGCAAACAAGACGAGTGCAATAATAATAATAATAATAATAATAATAATAATAATAATAATAATAATAATAATAATAATAATAATAATAATAATAGTTGGAAGGGACCTTGAAGGTCATCTGGTCCAACCCCCTGCTCAGGCAGGAAACCCTAAACCATTTCAGACAAATGACTGTCCAGTCTCTTCTTAAAAACTTCCAGTGTTGGAACATTCACCGCTTCTGGAGGCAGGTTGTTCCACTGGTTAATTGTTCTAACTGTCAGGAAGTTTCTCCTTAGTTCCAGGTTGCTTCTCTCCTTGGTTATTTTCCATCCGTTGCTTCTTGTCCTGCCTTCAGGCGCTTTGGAGAATAGCTTGACTCCCTCTTCTTTGGGGCAGCCCCTGAGATATTGGAATACTGCTATCATGTCCCCCCTCGTCCTTTTCTTCATTAAACTAGACATTCCCAATTCCAGCAGCTGTTCCTTCTATGTTTTAGCCTCCAGTCCCCTAATCATCTTTGTTGCTCTTCTCTGTACTGTTTCTAGAGTCTCAACATCTTTTTTACATCGTGGTGACCAAAACTGGATGCAGTATTCCAAGTGTGGCCTTACCAAGGCCTTGTAAAGTGGTATTAACCCTTCACGTGATCTTGATTCTATCCCTCTGTTAATGCAGCCCAGCACTGTGTTGGCCTTGGATGTGCTCTCCATGTGCCACTAAAGCATCTGCCCTGAGCTAGGAGGAGTGAACAGGCTTGAAAACTAGAGCAGAAGGGAGGTTTATTTATAGGGAAGATAAGATTGGGATAGAATAGAATAGAATAGAATAGAATAGAATAGAATAGAATAGAATAGAATAGAATAGAATAGAATAGAGGTGGAAAGGACCTTTGAGGTCTTCTAGTCCAGCCCCCTGCTCAAGCAGGAGACCCTATACCATTTCAGACAAGGGGCTGTTCAGTCTTTTCTTAAAAACCTCCAGTGATGGAGCACCCACATCTTTTGGAGGGAAGCTGTTCCACTGATCAATTGTCCTCCCTGTTAGGAAGTTTCTCCTTAACTCCAGGTTGCTTCTCTCCTTGATTAGTTTCCATTCTTTGTTTCTTATCCTGCCCTCTGTGCTTTGGAAAATAAATTGACCCCTTCCTCCTTGTGGCTGCCTCTCAAATACTGGAGTACTGCTATTATGTCCCCCCTTCATCATCCTTCTTTTCTCTAGACTGGCCATTCCCAAATCCTGCAACCGTTCTTCGTATGTTTTAGTCTCCAGGCCTTTAATCATCTTAGCTGCTCTTTTTTGCATTTTTCCCAAAGTCGCAAGATCTTTTTTGTAATGTGGTGACCAAAACTGGATGTAATATTCCAGATGTGGCCTTACTAAGGCTTTATAAAGCGGTGTTAATACTTGACGTGATCTTGATTCTATGCCTTTATTTATACAACCAAGGATTGTATTAGCTTTTTTTGGCTGCCGCCGCACACAACTGGCTCATAGTCAAGGGATCGTCCACTAGGACTCCAAGGTCCCTCTCACAGTTGCTGTTTTTGAGGCAGGTTTCACCCAATCTATACTTGTACCTTTGGTTTTTCTACTTGTGTAAAATCTTGCTTTTCTCCATATTAAATTTCATTTTGTTGGATAGGGCAGAACTGACCACTAGAAGGAGAATCAGAGAGGCTGTTCTAGGCCTGGGAAGGGACGGAAGAAGAGGCCCTGCAAGAGCAGAGAGATGACCAAGATGGAGGGGACACAGAATCCCCCCTCTCTCTCTACCCCACTGCTCCTTGTGGTCAGAAGGGAGGAAGAACCAGCATCATCGGATCTGGGCCTCTGCTTCGCCTGATATCTTGACCTCATGAAAAACCAGACAGGCTGCAGCTCCCTGCACCATTTGCTAAGGACTTCCCAGGACTTCCAAGGGGGGACTGGAGGCTTTTCTTCCAAGACAGAAGGCCACAGCAATACCCACCGTGCATGTGGGCCATCTGCCAGTGTGGAACGTTGGTCTTCTTGTGGTTTCTCAGTGCCAAGGGAAAAGTGACTGCGTCGCCCGCAGCAAAAACTCCTGGAACGTTGGTCTGCATCATCTGGAAGGGAGAGGAGAACTCTGTTTGGGGGAGACGCCTTGCAAGGGGGGGGCATGGAATGGTCCATTGCAGGAGGAAAGGGGGATGAGATAGGAGGAAAGAGGGAGAGAGGGAAGGAGGAAGAATAGAATAGAATAGAATAGAATAGAATAGAATATAGGAATGAAGAATGGAATGGAATGGAATGGAATAGAATAGAATAGAATAGAATAGAATAGAATAGAATAGAATAGAATAGAATAAGGGTAGAATAAGGGTAGAAGAATAGAATAGAATAGAATAGAATAGAATAGAATAGAATAGAATAGAATAGA